CCTCCGGCGATCCTTTCGCCTCAGCCTTCCAAGTAGCTGGAACTACAGGCGCGCGCTACCACGCCCGGCTGATTTTTTTATTTATTGTAGAGATGAGGTCTCGCCAAGTTGCCCAGGTGGGTCTCGAACCTGCAGGCTCAGGCAATTCACTCACTCTGTCACCAGGCTAGAGTGGTGCAATGGCACAATCATAGCTCACAGCAGCCTCAAACTCCTGGCTCAAGTAATCCTCCTGCTTCAGCCTCCCAAGTAGCCGGGACTACAGGCACATGCCACTATGTCTGACTAATTTTTCTTTTTTTATAGGGATGGGGCCTTGCTATGCTGCCCAGGCTACAGCTATATCTTTGGGAATCATTTGTCAGCCTGCTACAACCAGTATCTCCTAAAGCTGAGCACATGTGTATTACATGGCCTAGCAATTCCACTCCTGGACCATACCCTAGCACAACTGCATATGCATGTTCACTAAAAGGCAGGCAAAGGTGGTCATGGCCGCACCATTCTTCATTGCTCCAAACTAGAACTGACTGACAGTAGAATACAAGAAAATTGTGGTATAACCATGCAGTAGAAAACCACACAGCAATGAGAACCAATGAACTAATTCTACATGAACAATACGGACGGATGCCACAAACAATGTTGTGCAAGAGAAGTCTGACACAAAAGCACATTTGCTCTCATTCAATTTAAAGAAAGGTCTAAAAAGCAAGAGCAAGACATCCACAGCTGTGGCTGAGTGAAGAGGTCAGCCCACCTGCCCCCCAAAATACAAGTATAAAACTCAACAAAATGCCCCAAAACAATGATTTCAGGGTTCTGGGAATCAACTAAAGGCAAATGACCAACTGCACATTAGGTATCCATAAAAAGCTCCTAGAAGCTGGGCATGGTGGTGCACGCCTATACTCCCAGCTACTTGGGAGGCTGAGGTGGGAGGATCGCTTAAATCTAGGAGGTCAAGACCAGCCTGGGCAACATAGCGAGAACTTGTCTCTTTAAAAAAAAAAAAAAACAACGGGGGCTGAGCACAGTGGCTCATGCCTATAATCCCAGCACTCTAGGAGGCCAAGGCAGGTAGATCGCTTGAGCCCAGGAGAAAAAAATCAATAAATGAGTTGGGCATGGTGGCATGTGTCTGTAGTCCCAGCTACTCAGGAGGCTGAGGTGAGAGGTAGGGACTGTGGTGAGCCATGATTGTGTCACTGCACCTCAGCCTGGGTGACAGAGTGAGTTTTCGACACAAAAAAAGAAAAAAATAAAGCCTCTGGAGCTTTGCATAAGAACATGAAAGGCTGTGGCCCTCCTGCCTGGAATGGGGCCCAACCCCACCCGCCATGCTCATCACAGCAGTTTGATGAGGGCAAGCCTGGCTGGGAAAATGGGCAGCCTTTGCCCCTACTGGGCTGACTCATTTGCAGGAGAGGATGAAAGCATTTCCTGCCAAGATCGTCAGGAAAAGCAGCAAAACCGGCAAGAAACTAATGGAGAGGGCAGCTCTGTTAGCCCAAGGCGTGGCCCCGGAGGAGACCAGAGGACCAGCAGACATTTATTGAAGACATTTATGGGAAATGAGGGCGCCCCAGAAAAACTGGACCGGTTCTCCATGACTCCCGGCTGACGTGGGCCATGCACACCTGAGCAGGGGGTCCTGGGAGAGTGAAGGAGAATCAAACTGAGGCACACTTGAAAATTGCCTGACTTTTTTTTTTTTTTTGAGTTGGAGTCTCACTTGGTCGCTCAGACTGGAGTGCAGTGGCCGCTCTCGGCCACCGCAGCCTCGCCTGCTGGGCTCCGGCGATCCTTCCGCCTCAGCCTTCCGAGTAGCCGGAATTACAGGCACGCGCTACCACGCCCAGCTGATTTTTGATTTATTGTAGAGATGAGGTCTCGCTGCCCAGGCAGGTCTCGAACCCGCGGCTCAGGCAGTCCACTCACCTCAGCCTCCCAAAGGCATGGGACTACAGGCTGTGCCATCGAGCCCGGCTGCCTGACTTTTTTTTGAGGGGCCGGTTAGGGTCTCACTCTGTTGCCCAGGCTGGAGTGCAGAGGCACAATCACGACTTACCACAGCCTCGCCCTCCTGGGCTCAGGTGATCCTTCTGTCTCGGCCTCCCAAGCCGAGACTAGAGGTGAGTCTCCCTCTGTCATACAGGGTGGAGTACCTGGTGTCAAGCGATTCTCCCAACTGGGACTATAGGCATGCACCACCACACCTGGCTAATTATTTTATTATTTTATTTTTGGTAGAGACAAGGTCCTGTTAACGTGCCCAGTCTGGTCTCAAACTCCTGGCCTTAAACAATCCTCCCTCCTCAGCCTCCCAAAGTGCTGGGATGACAAGTGTGAGCCACCTCACTCAACCTGAAAACTTTGGACTTTTTATAGAAGCAAACATAAGGAGACCTGAGGGTCAGCATGGTGGTGAGCCCCCTGGCTCTTATTTGTATCTCTTATATCCTGGGTTGAGTGTTTGAGAAACCAGCAACTTGGAAACACCAGTGGGCTCAGACACGCACGCGCGCATGCACACACACACATACACACACACACACAAAGGCCCCAACAAGAGCCTGTCCTCTCTTGTTAAAGGTCTGGGAAAAATAGCACTGCAAGAAAGAAAACTTGCAGATACCAGCTACCCTCCTCTAGTCAAACACCACGAGAAACACCCCATCCCTGGCAACAAATGTGGAGTGGAAGCCCACCTTCCCCCCGCTGTAGCAAGGCACTGATCTCCCCCCACTGGAATGGGGGTGTCGAATGAGGCCTAAGGAAGCACAGAGCTTTCACTCCCTGAGGGGGGAGCTCCTCCGCCCACAGGCCAAGTTGGGAGCAGGCCTGGGTGTCCCTCGCCCTCCCAGTCAGAGGGCGTCCCTCGAGGCCTCCTGTGAAGACTGTGCCCCCGACCCCTGCCCAGCAGTCACGAGGCCCCCCTTCCCCACTCCGGGGTATCCACAGAGGCCACGTGGGAAACCTGGACTTCCACTCCCCTGGCAGAGGTGAGGCAGTGTCGGAGCTAAAATGGAAGATTGAAATAAGAACTGAAAGGTTGGGCACAGTGGCTCACGCTGCGGCCCCGGCACTTTAGGAGGCTGAGGTAGGAGGATCGCTTGGGACCAGGAGTTCAAGACCAGCCTAGGCTACATAACGAGAGCTTGTTTCTACAAAAAATAAAAAAAATAGCCAGGCGTGGTGTCACACGCCTATAGTCTCAGCTAATTGGGAGGCTGAAGCAGAAAGATTGCTTGAGCCCAGAAGGTCAAGGCTGCAGTGAGCCATGAGTGTGCCACTACACTCCAGTCTTTGAAACTGAGTAAGACCCTGACTCATAAACAAACAAACAAATAAATGAGAATCGGTTTTGTGATGCTGAAACCCACTTGTCACATTAAGAACAAGGAAAATTTCAACCTGAATGAGACAAGACAGTCAACAGATGCCAGCTGAGATGACACAGATGTCTGAGTCATCAGATAAGGATTGTAAAGTAACCATCATAAAAATCTGTCCGTGAGCAATTGTGAACATGCTCGAAACAAATGAAATAAAAAATCTTAGCAAAGAGTGATTGTGCAGAAATGCAATTTTTGGTCAAATGCAGTGGCTCATTTTGGGTCAAATCAGGCAATTTTTTGTCAAATGCAGTGGCTCATTCCTCTCATCCCAGCACTCCAGGAGGCCAGGCCAGAAGGATTGCTTGAGCCCAGGAGTTCAAGACCAACCTGGGCAACATAGCCAGGCCTCATCTCTCAAAAAAAAAAAAAAAAAAAATTAGCCAGGTGTGGTGGCACATGCCTGTAGTCCCAGCTACTCTGGAGGCTGAGTTGAGAGGATCACTTGAGCCCAGGTACTCCACTCTGTATGACAGAGAGAGACTCAACTCAAAAAAAGAAAATAAAAGACAAAGTCCATGGTTTTTAGCTGTCCTTTGCTAGAAATAGGGAGAAGTGTGTCTACACCATCTTGTCTGGTACTGGAAACCTATTCCCATCCATGACAAAAATTCTCAACAAACTAGGCAGAAAAAGGGAACTTTCTCAACCCAAGAAATGGTATTTAAAAGCCCACAGCTAACATCACATCTGATGGTTAAAGACTGACTGCATCTAAAAGCCTGCAGCTAACATCACATCTGATGGTTAAAACTGGAAACAAGGCAAGGATGTCTGCTCTCACCTTTTCAAGTCAACTTTGTTCCAGAAGGTCTAGCCAATGCAATAAGGCAACACAAAGAAATTAAACATAAACAAGTTAGAAAGAAAGAGGTCAAATCATCTCTATAGATGATATGATATAAAAATTAACTGTATTTCTATATATTAGCAGAGAAAAGTTCAAAAATCAAAGTAAGAAAATAATTCACCCAAAATAATCAAATAATTAAATGAAAGTAATAGAAACATGTATTAATTAATTTAGCAAAAATATAAGAATATATATTATATATATATATATACTGAAAACTACAAAGTATCACTAGATAAATCAAAGATCAACATAAATAGTACCAGAACAACTGACTATCCATGTGTTTTTAAAAATAAATTAGACCCTTACCTCACACAAAAATCAACTCCAAATGAATCACAGACCTCAATGCAAGAACTGAAGCTATTAAATCATAGAAGAGAAGTGACCTAGGTTTGGCAAATATTTTTTTTTTAGCTATAACACCAAAATACATGATCCCAATGAATTCCAAACAGATACATTTGGATTTCATCAAATTTTAACACTTTTGCTCTTTAAAGGCACCATTACAAAAACGCAAAGAGGCTGGCACAGTGACTCAAGTCTGTAATCTCAGGACTTTGGGAGGCCAAGGTGGGAGGATCCTTTAATCCCTGGAGTTTGAGGCCAGCCTGGGTAACAGAGTGAGACCTCGTCTCTAAAAAAATAAAATAACAAAATAATAGTAATTTTAAAAAGGACAATGCAAAGAGAAGTCACAGACTGGAAGAAAATATTTGCAAATTATGTATCTGACAAAGAACTTTTATCCACATTGTATAAAGAGCTCTTAGAACTCATTAATAAGACAAACAACTCAATTTAAAAATGGACACAAATTCCAAACACTCAGTCAAAGATGATATGCAAATGACCAATAAACACCCAAAAGATACAGAATATCACGAGTTATTAGAGGAATGTCAATGAAGTGAAGTACTCCATCATACCCACTAGGAGGGCTAAAGTGAAAGACTGGCATTATCAGCTGCTGGCAAGGATGTGGAGAAGCCAAAACCTCACCCACTGTTGAAAGGAGAGAGAAATGGGCCAGGCTGTTCGGTGGTTTCTTAAAAAGCAAGACATACACTCACCACATAATTCAGCAATTATGCTCCTGGGACTCTAAACCCAGAGAAAACATACAGTCACAAAAGCAAGTGTGCACAAATGTTCATGGCTGCATTATTTGCAATAGTCAGAAATTAGAAATAATCTAGGCCGGGCGCAGTGGCTCACGTCTATAATCCCAGAACTTTGGGAGGCTGAGATGAGAGGATTGCCTGAGACCACAGGTTCGAGACCAGCCTGGACAACTTGGCGAGACCTCATCTCTACAATAAATTAAAAAAGAAAAAAATTTGCTGGGCATAGTGGTGTGTGCCTGTAGCTCCAGCTACTTGGAAGGCTGAGGTGGAAGGATCGCTGGAGTTTAGCAAGTTGAGACCTTGGTGGCCATGAGCATGCCAATGCCCTCTAGCCTGGGCGACAGAGTGAGACTCCAACAATAAATACACAAATAAATAATAAAATAAAATAAAGAAATAACCCAGTAATGACATCCAGCAACCAAGGAACAGAGTAAATAAAATATGGGCTGACCATACAACAGAATACTATTCAGCAATAAAAAGGAATGAATGACCAATATATGCCATAACACAGACTCAAGAAGTGAAAGAAGCCGGAACCAGAAGACTCCATTTAACTCCATTCATGTGAAATTCCTAGGAAAGCTACATCTCCAGAGACAGAAGGTGGACCAGTGTCTGCTTGGGGCTGCGTAGGAGCCAGGATCAACCATTGGCAGAGAGAATTTTCTGGAGTAACAGAAACCATCTAAAAATGGGTTGTGGCAATGATGGTAAAACCATAAATGGACTAGGAATCAAGAAAACTGCATACTTAGATTGGGTGAATTTTTTTACTTTTAAAAATCATGGCCGGGCTCGGTGACTCAGTCTGTCATCCCAGCACTTTGGGAGGTCAAAGTGAGTGGATTGCCTGTGCCCACGGGTTTGAGACCAGCCCGGGCAACTTGGCGAGACCTCGTCTCTACAATAAGTTTCAAAAATTAGCCGGGCGTGGTAGGGCGCGCCTGTAGTTCCGGCTCCTTGGAGGGCTTAGGCAGAAGGATCGCCAGAGCCCAGCAGGTTGACATTGGGGTGGCCATGAGTGTGCCACTGCACTCCAGCCTGGGCGACGGAGTGAGACTCCAACTCAAAAAAAGAAAAAAAAAAGAATGCCAAGTCCCCGGCCCTGCCTCTCTGCTCTCTGAGCCCCATCAGCCGCCGCTGCCCCGAGCACCACCTCCCATGTCTCCACCACCCTGCAGAGAAGCAGGGAGGCCGTGACTCACTCTGAAGTACCAGGACCACCACCTTCTCCGCCGTGCCCATCTCGTTCTCTGCCAGGCATTGGTACTGTCCCGCGTCGTCTCTCTGTGGGTGGGCATGGGAGGGGAGTGTGGCATTCAGAGGGGAAACCAGGGTTCAGACAGCTGGCCAGGGGACTACAACCAGGCCGGCCAGCAAGGGGCTTAGAGTGTCGACCGGCCGGAGACATCCTGCTCCCCACAGTGCATCAGAGGGCAGAAGACACACAGAGAGACTCACACCCAGGACAGGTAGGGACTGAGGTCCTGCATTTGTTGCCACTTGCTGGAAAAAGCATGATTTAGATCCACCCCTTGAAAACTGCATCCACTGAAATCTAAGTGTGCCATGGCACATTATTTGGGATTTCTCAAAAAAAAGAAAAAAGGGGGTTCCATGGTCGAATACGTTTGGGAATCACTGACTTAAACAACACATCTCTGAGCTGTAGGACTTGTCAGGGCATTTACTCTGCCAGTGTGCACTGTGTGTCTTTCAGAAGGGACATGGTTTACAGCGTTTCTGTAACCAAGGTGGCCAGGGAAGCTCGTTCCCTGGATTTCCCTGACCTTGGATACGCAATCGGACTCGGGAAGGGCGCAGGCTCGCGTCACTTCTGAGTGGCAGCGCCGCCATGAGATGGGGCTGGGGCAGCCTGAGGCCACCGTCCACACCCAGAAGTTGATATCCAGGGGCCTGCTCCCAGGGGACCATTGGGGACAGTCCAGTACAAAGTTAAGAGTGTAGATTTGAGGTCAGACCAACATGGGACTGAGTTCCAGCCCTTCTGTCTACTGCACTGAACCCTTTATAAGACCATGCATTTCCATGTCTCTGGAGCCTCAGTTTCCCATCTCTAAAATGGGAATAACTGCTAGGATCGTCATGAGCGTATCGATGCCGGTTAGGTGCATGGCATGGTACTCACGGTCAGTACCCGGGTAACAGTGGCCTTTACTGCAGTTGCTGTTACTTTTACTGTGGCTATTATTATTCAGTCCTATGATTATTACCACCCAGCAAAGGGCTCCCAGATGGGCAGGATCAATGTCCCTACGCAGTGAACTTGAGCCAGGACAGACTTGTGGATTGCTGCGCAATCACTGGAACTTGGGACACGGAGTGGAAGGTGAGTGGGGCAGCTCCAGAGCCCAGGGCTTAGGAAACAGCAGGAGTCCCGAGACCTGGGGTGGGGTCCTGCCACCTGCACTTTCTAGCTGTGGGCCACTCTGAGCCTCAGTGTCTTCATCTGAAAAATGGGGGTACTACTACCTGCCTACTGTGCTCCTGGGCTGTTAATAACATTTGTGGGGAGGCATTATTCACAGATCATTCTTTTTCGTTGTTGTAGTTATTATTGTTTTTGAGTCAGAGTCTCACGCTGTTGCCTAGGCCAAAGTGCAGTGGCACAATCACAGCTCACGACAGCCTTCACCTCCTGGGCTTAGGCGATCCTCCTGCCTCGGCCTCTCGAGGAGCTGGGACGACAGACACATGCCACTATGCCCAGCTCATTTTATTTATTTAGATATTTATTTTTGTAGAGACCAGGTCTCACTATGTTGCCCAGGCTCAAACTCCTGGGCTCAAGCAATCCTCTTGCCTCGGCCTCCCAAAGTGCTAGGATTACAGGTGTGAGCCACAGCACCTGGCCTACAGACCACTCTTTTTTATTTTTTAATTCTAATTTTTTTTTAGTAAGTAGGAATTTATTAGAAGATAGGAAAGCCCCCAGCAGAGGGAGGGGTCCTGAAAGAGGGTTGCTCTGTTTTAATTTTTTTTTAAAGTAGGGACCTCATTCTGTCAGTCAGACTGGAGTGCAGTGGCATGATCACAGCTCACCACAGCCTCAACCTCCTGGGCTCAGGCAAGCCTTCTGCCTCAGCCTCCCAAGTAGCTGGGACTGCAGGTACGCACCACCATGCCCAGCCAATTTTTTATTTTTGTAGAGACAAGGTCTCTGAAGCTCAGGCCGCAGATCACTCTTAAATACCTGGTGTGAGTCATCTCACTGATTTCTCACTATAAACCTATGAGGCAGGAGTAATTCTTAGTCTGAATGGGTGGGATGACAGGCACAGAGAGGGTTAGTTGCTGGCTGCAGGTCAACCCGAGTGGCAGCAGGAGGGGATCTGGGGAATGGACAGGGAAGGGCTTTGTAGATTGTAGAGTGGGGTGCCAACCTAAAGAAGCTTCCCGAACAGTCAGAAGAAACACAGGGTTGCCCTACGCCCCCCCGCAACCCTCCAAGGTGCCCCGCCTTGCCTCAGTCCTGCGGATGGTCAGCGAGCCATTCTGCAACTGGTGCCGGAGATGGCTGCCCCGCAGTGGAAGGCCATCTTTGATCCAGCGGATGTCAGGCACTGGGTCTCCACGGGCCACACAGTCTAGCTGGATGCTGGCCCCCACGGGTTCCACCAGGTAGGAGAAAGCCTCCCCCTGCAGGACAGGAGCCTCTGCATGGGATGGCACCAAACAAGGGGTCAGTAAAGAGGCCACCTATAAGCCTGTCCTCGAAGGCCTGTCCAACAAAGGCTCTGGCTAGCCCAACAGGGTTGTGCATATTCAATGCATGAGGGACGGCAAACTGTGTCCATGTCATGGGTCAAGTCACAGAGAGACTGGCAGTGGCTACTAGGAACTGTGCTGAGAAGGATTTGAAGCTGAGTGAGAATGGAGCTGTGATCGATTAGTGATGCCTGAGACGGGCCCAGATGGGAGTGCAGTGGTACGTGTGTCATATACTCACTCTCACAGATGGATTACCCCAACTGCAGAGTATCTGAGGACTTAGATTTGGAAATCAAGAACTATACGGAAACAAAACATCAGGACACAGCCACATGAAAAGACTCATGTGACTCTCAAAACACTCTTGGATGCCCTGTGCCAGCTTCCATCCTTCCTAGTTTCCTGAGATCAAATCTACCCAAATCTGAAGCTATGTCCTGGTGCCTGGGGCTGTGCTTCCCCTCCATCCAGACCCAGCCATCCTGAAGCTGAGCATCTAAATCATGGTGACACCAAGGGTGAATGTGTCTCTGTGGGGGGATGGGCAGGACACAGGGGACAACCGGAAGGCTGCCCTGGCCCCCTGCCCTCCTACCCCCCTGGCATTGTCCAGCTGAAGACCAGTTGGTCAGATTCCAATTCCACCTGCAGCCAGAGTGGTCTGCGGACTGTAGAAAAGACCAATGCCTGGGCCACCTGCCCCCAGAATGGCTGGTTACTGGGTCGGAGGCAGAGCCTGGGAATCTGCATTGTATAAAGTCTTCTAGGGGATTCCAAAGTGCGGTCAGGGTGGAGAGCCGTGAGCTGAGGATAAGAGTCCAGGCTCTTAGGACACCCACAGCACGGGCTCCATGGAGGCCCACAAGGGATGCCTACCCTTCACATGGACGAAGCTGACCGTCTGCACGCGGCCCACTCTGTTCTCGGCCCAGCAGACGTAGGTCCCACTGTCCTCTCTGGTGACCGCCGCCCGCTGCAGTGTGCTGCCCCCATCCTGTGCGGACACGCCTTCTGCAGAGGAGACAGACATGCCCCGGGGGGATTCTGAGTCCAGGTGCAGGGAGCTCCTACCCTAAACGCCCCACTTGGGCCTGGGTACAAGCAGGAGCTTAATAAAGACGCAGAAACGGACAGAAGTGTCCCAGGAGGCACAGGCCACATTGGAGGCTAAGGTTAAGACCCTCCATTTCATCATTTTCGGGTGCACACTGAATTAGATGAGTGGTCAAGACTGGGTCTTTTGGAGCTTTTTTTTTTTGAGTCAGGGTCTCACTCTGCCACCCAGGCCAAAGTGCAGCGGCATGATTATGGCTCGCCGCAAGCTCCACCTCTTAGTCTCAGGTGATCTTTCCACCTCAGCCTCCCAAGTAGCTGGGACTACAGGTGAGCGCCACCACACCTGGCTAGTTTTTAAATTTTTTTTTTTTTTTTTTTGAGTTGGAGTCTCACTCTGTCACCCAGACTGGAGTGCAGTGACCGCTCACGGCCACCGCAGCCTCAACCTGCTGGGCTCCAGCAATCCTTCCTCCTCAGCCTTCCGAGTAGCTGGAACTACAGGCGTGCACTACCACAGGCTAGGACACAGACCTCCACCTCCTGGCCTTCAGGCCTCTGCGTTGAATCTTCTTGGGGTGGGGGGATTCTTGCCAGCTCTGATAGGCAGCTTGTCACCTGGCTAATTTTTTGATTTATTGCAGAGACGAGGTCTCGCCAAGTTGCCCAGGCGGGTCTCGAACCCGCGGGCTCAGGCAATCCTCTCACCTCGGCCTCCCAAAGTGCTGGGATTACAGACTGAGCCACTGAACCCGGCCAAGTTTTTAAATTTTTTTTGTAGAGATGAGGTCTCGCTATGTTTCCTAGGCTGGTCTTAAATGCCTGGACTCAAGTGATCCTCCTGACTTGGCCTCCCAAAGTGCTGGGGTTACAGGAGTGAGCCGCTGCGCCTGGTCAGCAAACATTGATTGAGCCCCTGTGGCTCGCTAGACATCACCTGGGTACCAGGGGGCAGGACAGAAACCCTCAGGGAAAGGTTTCCAGAGGGCCCCACGAAGGGACCAGCAGCTCTGGGCTAGGACAGGCCTCCACCTCCTGGCCTTCAGGCCTCTGGGGTTTGAGTCTTCTTCTTGGGGGGGTTTCTTGCCAGCTCTGATAGGCAGCCTGTCACCTGGGTTTGCTCTGTCCCCCTGCACAGGACATCTGGAGACCCAGAAGCCAAGGGTCCTGCCCACTAGGTTGGGTCCCCCGCCCGCCCATCCACCTTGAGGCCTCTGTTCCAGCCGCCCCCAGCAGGCCCAGACCTGTGACTGGCCGGTCGTTGATGGTCCAGCCAAGGCGAGGGGTGGGGCTGCCCCGGGCTGCACAGCGAAGCCACAGCCGGTCCCCGAGGCGCAGGCTGCGGTCCCCAGGTAGGGCGGTGAACACAGGCAGCGCCAGGACGGTGAGATGCACGCGGCGGCGGGCCCGGCCCAGGGCATTCTCCGCCATGCAAGCATAGGTGCCGGCATCCCGGCCCTGTGGGCAAAGGGAGGTTGGCTGGGAACCGCCCTCCACCCCTGCCCAGGCAGGAATGCCCCAGGAGCCATTGCCCTGCAGGGACTCACAGGGCATCCGGCCCAGAGACGTGCAGTGACTTGCCCAAGGTCACACAGCTGGCAGACGGGCGGTCACTCCCCGTCCCCTCTCTCCACGCCCTGGTACTTTCTGCAGCTGTCATGGGCTCTGCCCCTTCGTAATCTAAGCCCTGATCGCATGCATGCTTGTGACAGGAACCACTTACTGAGCACCTACTGTGTGCCGGGCCCTGTGCTCACAACTTGGCCTTCACCAACTTGTCCAAGATGGAGTTGCCCTGAGGAAGTCCTACTTCTGAAGCCTTTACAGAGAAGGCCAGCAGAGCCTCTGAGAGGCAGCTTCGGGGACCAATCAAGTGGGCCAGGTGCACTCATCCCTGCACTGCCTGGCTCCCTGGGTGGCAGAGGCCCCGGGACCCTCCAGGTATGTGTCCCACTGAGCCCACTGGAGAGCAGCTCATTAGGTAACTGGGGGGAATGGGAGAGTGAATAAGAGGGGGGACAGGAGGGTCCCACCCATATGCCTGGCCAAACACTGCCTCCAAACCAGGGAGGGCAGTCAATGTCAGTGCGTGGTTAAGAATAACGGGTATATTTTGGGGACACAAAGCTGTTGCCATGTCCCCCCCAAATCTGGGCTCTGCCTCTTGGGAATGGCATATCTGGGGACAATTATGTACACTCAGAACCCCAGGATCCTCATCCATATCCAGGATAAGTCCCATCCCCCAGGTTCCTGGGGCCCTAAGGATGTGCAGTGCTCCGCACAGAGCAGGACAGGCAGGGTCTCCACACACTGCCGTCTGCCGTCCCTCGCTGTGCCCTGCGGCCGACGCCTCACCTCCACGTTCTTCACCAGCAGGTCCCCCGAAGGCTGGACGTTGAACTTCCCCTCGGCCCCAGACACGGGCTGGCCGTCCTTGTCCCAGGTGATGTCCGGGTCGGGACTGCCCCTGGCCGTGCAGGGCAGGAGGGCGTGGGAGCCTTCAGTGGCGGCCAGGTCAGGGAGGCTGGCCTCGATCACAGGTGGGACTGCAGGCAGAGGGAGGCCCACTTGGGACTGGGGCTCGAGGAGGGGCCACTCCCGCCTCCGTGTCCCATCCCCTTGGCCTTCCCTGCCATCAGCTGTCCCCACTACTGCAGGTCAGAGGCTGCTGCCTGTGGCTGGGACAATGTGGGAACTCTGAGTTTGGTGAGGCTGTGACAGGGTGACCTCTTGCACCCATGCACACGCGTATACACACACACACACACACACACACACACACACACACACACACACCCAAAAAGCTGCAGGACAGAGGCCTTGGGCAGGTTCCACTTGGGCACAAGACCTCATGTTGGTCCCCAGGGTTCCAAGCAGACCTGTCACACAGCCTCCCCTGGACAGCCACACTGGGACAGAGTGAGGGTACCCGGTTGGCCCAGCTGAGTCTGGCTGGCCTGGTGACTGGCCATGCTCCTGGCCATAGGGGACAGGGGCAAGTTGTGCAAGAAGGCTCAGAGCCCCTCTGAGTTCACAGCCAGAGTCCAACCCCAGCACCGCACGGCAGCCTGCAGGGATGGCCACCAGATGGCCACAAAGCAGGCCACATGGGTCACCACACGACAGGCCTATGCTGAACGGTCCCAGCAAACTTCACAGACTTGTAGTCAGTGACGGCCCTTATCTTTGTCTTTGGTGGGATGATTCTTTCCTTCCTTCTTTCTTTCCTTCCTTCCTTCCTTCCTTCTTCTCTCTCTTTCTCTTTTTCTTTTTTAGAGATGAGGGCTCACTATGTCGCCCAGGCTGGTCTCCAACTCCTGGACTCAAGCAATCCTCTCACCTCAGCCTCCCAAAGTGCTGGGACGACAGGCATGAGTTGCTGTACCAAGCATGCCCCCTAACTTGGAGACGATGACTGTCCAAACTGAGGGAAGGACGTGTTGAACTGTGTGGGTGCAGGAAAGGCTGGAAACCACGGCTGCTACTAGATGCCAGAGTGACCAGGAAAGGGCCCCCGAGTATCCCAGCAGGGCCAGAGGGAAGGTGGAGGCGACAAGAGGTTGTGCCTGAAGCGAGACCTCAGGTGCAAGGTGAGAGGCGTTTTTCCTTCCTTCCTTCTAGGACCACACGCCCAGCAGAGTGGGC